AAAAACGCATCAACAATAGTATCTCATGGATGATGTGGAAATCTATTATCAAAATTACAAGACAGATACACACACACACACACACACACACACACACACGTATTATATTCGATATAAAATTATATATGTGTGTGTATGGGTGTGTGTCTACAATATATTACATATAAATAATGTAACATTATATTATTTACAAAAAAATATATATATATTGAAGAAGTAAAAATTTTAATAACGGATTGGCACATAGAAGCGCTACATACGTATTTCTTACTCAACAACGCTCCTGAGGCAAAGCGATCGGCGGCTCGGCCGCTGAGGCTGGAGTGAGAGTGGGGAGCGGTGGGCGTCGCGTCTGAAATTAGTCCAAAATGTGACAAAAATTCCGAGGCCTGCTGTAGACTATTGTGATCGTATAGTAATTATCGTGCTTAATATACACGTCCGACTTTACCACCTCTTCTGTTTGCACCTTGATTGAGTTTATCGAAGCAAAAATTCAATCGTATATTACTTTCAACGAAATGAGAAGAAAACACATCGATGATGGTAAGCTTACTTTTTATATACTGATTATTAGTAGATTAGTAGTAGAAAGTTCTTAGCTTTTTAAGTTTTGCATCGACCGGAGCAACATTTTAAAACGAAATATTTTCCTATCTTTTTGAAATTTTTAAATATTGACATTAATGATTAGAAAACGCCATGACAGGGCAAGCAATATAATCTCAAAAGATAGCATTGTTCATGTTGGCCATAACTACAAAGTATATTCAATATTCCATTCAACTTTCATCTCCAGGAAATCGTTGCTAAAGCCGCCGAAATTATTTGTATTGCATATACTGATAAAAAAATATAGCCAATTTGAAAAAAAATAATTTGTTTTGAATAAATGATTTTCTAAAATGGTACTAATGGCATATTTATTTGAATTAAAAAGAAATATTATTTAGGATGATATATTTTTTGCTGAAAACTAATGAATTATTTATTAGATTTGATACATAAAAGGAATTGTAAAAAATATTTACTTATTTAATTATTTTATATATTATTTTTAAATATTGTATGACTAAAATTGAGTAAATATTTATCAAATTTAAATAAAAAATTGTTCACTTTAAAGAATTTTTCTTTATTTTTCTTTCTTGAACGGTTCTTTAAATTCTTTAAAAATTTGTGTAAGAGTAATATTTATGAACGACTAAGTTGCTTTCAATCACATCACATTTAAAAATTCTCACTGACACTGGTGGGACTCGAACTTGGACCATGTGGCACCTCTGGATTATGAGTCTGTTGCTTTAGGCACCACACCACTTTTTCGATCAATATAAACGTCTTACATTTTGTCTATATGTGATGTAATGTGTTGTAAAGTAAATTAATAATTGGTTTGAAAAAATATTTGTTTAAAGCTATTTCCTAAATTTAAATATATTAGATTTTTCAATTGTTAAGAATAAATTATTCAATTTGAGCAATGTCTTAATAACATTTATTCGTTATTTATTTTAAAATTATTTCACGTTGAATAAAATTTTCCTTCAATTTTATATATATATTTTATATATATATATATATATATATATATATATAT